TCCCAGCTGTAAAGCTGCGGCAGCTCCGCAGGGATGAGGGCAAGCGGGGATGCCTCCCACCAGCTGGAGGATGGCTACATCCCGGGTGTGACAGTGCCTCATGGCTCTCTCCGCACGGCCACATCCACGGGAGGAGTGGTATTGTCCCTATATCCCGCTGCAGGGACTCTTCCTGCAGGGAAGCACGTAGCTGTCCTGTTGCATCGCTGCAAGGAACGGCACAGCTGAGCCGGTGCAGGCGGCCTGGGCAGAGTCCGCCCGCTCCCCCTGCCCTGCCAGTCGCCCCTCTCCCCAAACCCAGGCACCGGCGGGGAGGAAACATCCCCCAAGGCAGCCCCTCGGTATGAAGCCCCGTGAGGATGAAAGAAACCACCCGCGTGGTCCCCGACTGTAACGCAGAGAGGAGGATGGAGAGCTGGTCTGTGCCACGCGGTGCACTGGATAAGGGCAGTGACACGCTGAGGGTGACCTTGTCCGTAAGAAACACCGGGCTGGCGTCGCCAGGGGTGCAGATGCAGCACAGAGACCCCAGGAGCCAGTGGGAAATGCCCCCCAGCTGGGCTGCCGGGTCCACAGGACCAATCCTGCTGCTGGTCCCTTGTCACATAGCCAGGCTGGGGTCTGCTCTCCAGGTCCAGGTGGCTGTGGTGCTTCAGCTCACCTTCCTCTTCCTCTCCGCAGCAGGCACAGTGTCTGTCTGTCTGTCCATCCATCCACGGACTGCCTGCAGCAGGACTCCAAAGGGACACGAGCAGGTGACTGCAGCCCCGGGCGGCTGCGGGGAGCTGGTGTTTAGGCGGCTTGGCTGGGCGGCAGGCGTTTGCTGTCCAGAATGGCCTTCCAGTCGTGGACTGCAGCCTGCGGCTGGGGGGCTTCAGCTGCAGGTGCTTGTTGTGACAGGCCGTGAAGAGGACGTGCTCCCAGCTGGGGTTGAGCTCAGCCCCTGCAAAGCAAGGAGAGAGGTCGGCTCTCTGGACAACTCCTCTGCGAGACACAGAGGTTGACCTTACTCCAACATGAGGAGCCTGCGGACACAAACCCCTAACGAGAGGCTAATCACGCAGGGAGGGACCAGCGCCCATCAGCCCTGGATGCCATCTGCTCCTTGGGGCTGCCTCCGGTCACTCCTGCCACCCCGCACCTCCCTTACCTGTTATATCAGGTCTGTCGTCTATAAGCAGGTCAGCAGAAACCACCGTCTTATCTCGCGTCAAAACGACCTGCTCGAGAAACTCGGGGCCGAAGTGCTTCTCCACCCAGGCGTACTGGAAGGCGAGAGGCGAGCGGTGAGCTCAGGGGAGGCTGGTGGATGGGGCAGGGGCTGCACGAGCCCTGGCCTCGACACAGGGAGGACATCTCTCATAATAAGTTCATTAGTGGGAAGGATTCGGATGCTGCTGGAGCACAAGTTCTTTTAAAGCCAAGCAGCTTTTGATGTCGTGATGAAATATGAAAACCGAGCGCCTCAGTGCATGCAAATGGCAGAGCTTGGCCGGTGGCGGAGCTGCTGCTCTGCGAAGATGCTTAGGTATAAAACTGGTGGAGCAGGGAAATATTGCTGCCATTTTACAGCCGGAGGCATGCGGGGTCAGCTGGCTTTTGCTGGGCAGCGCGGTACAGGAGGGGGAGCTGGGATTCGGACTTTCTCACCTTCTCGTAAGGGCAGTAGCGGTACTTCTTGATTGGGCTTGTGCAGATGAACACGTCGGTGCTGCCAAAAGGATAAAAACAGGAACAGAGTGTCACTCGGTGGCCAAACACACCGATCAGACCCTGCTCCCCCTTGAGATACACCTGGCTACCTTTGCGAGACCCCACTCCATGCCTGAGCAGGCAGGTGGCCAAAGCAGACCCCCTGCCACACACAGACCAAACCGGGGTGATTTAAGACATTAATCCCCGATCTTGCAGGATCCCACCCCCAGGATGTGCAGCCGCACCCACAGCATAAGCAGGTTCCCCTTTTCACCACCCTTGCTGGGAGCAGAGAGCTGAAGGGAAGGGGGCTGCACATAGCTGATTTTCTTGGCAACTGCTCCAGGAGTCAAAGCCCTCTCTTTCCTCCCATGCCCAGCCGGCCGGGAGGTATTTTTAATGCTGATGCTGTATTCAGCGCTTCTGCCAGGAGGCAGAGGAGTCTGCAAAGCCACTGCTGCTCCCCCATCGATCCCCAAATACCATAGGGAGGTTCCTACTCACTCTGCCAAATTTGCCATTTGCTTCACAGCTTCCACAGCCCCGGGGAGCGGGTCCAGCTCAATGAAGAAGTTCTTGGATTCCCAGATGCTGATGGCTTTTTCCTGTGGGGGGACAGAGAGCAGTTACTGCACAGGGCTTCTTGTTGTTGTTCTCCTTGCACATGCATCTTTCCCCACCCTTTGCTAGGACAGAGGATGGTGACAGCGAGGAAGGTGGGAGCGCTGGCTCCGGTCTCCTCCTGCTAACCCGCCTTGCCTCCGTGGGTCCCTCTGTTCCCCACCTGCCAACCTGCACCCGTCCCATACAATTTAGATCAGAGATGCTCTGAAGCACACTTGGTTTTGTCTGTGCAGCCCCAGACACAGAGGGAGCAGCACGTTCCTTCAAGGCAAAACACAAGAGATTGTCCAGAACCAAACCAAACCCCAGGTCTGCGTCTGGAAGGGCACTTCCACGTGGATCTGGCTGACATGGCCTGGTACCCCTGCTGTAATGTTCTGCTGTTCAGCCACAGATGCCGTCTGGCCTATTTGTCTTGACCAGATCACTTAAAATAGCAGCCGGGCTGCTCTCATAGGAGAAAGTGTATTACAGGATGAACTACATGTCAGGATGAATGCAGATGCTCTTCCTCAGGGATGCCTGGGCAAGGACTACCAGGCACGTAGGGCATCTCCAGGCAAGGGTTTGAAAGACTTAACATCCAGGTCAGCAGCCGGGCTGCACTGGTATGGCACACAGAGAGAGACCACAGGGGGCAAAACCCTGGGACGAGGGCAGAGTCCAGGGGCTGCCTGCGATGGGTCCAGCACAGCTGTAAGGAACGGCATCCCCTGCACTCCCTCAAAGCGGTAACGGCTTTTCAGCCACCAAGGAAAGCAATTATTTAGCAGAGACACTGGGTCCTCGGGGAGGAGAGCCTGGGAGTGCTGCAACGCGGCTGCGGGCAGCAGAAGCAGCCTTGTCCCAGTGTTGCAATGCAGCTGAGCAGCTGCAGACGCAGCTGGGAGAAGTTTTGAAGGGAGCCCTGCCCTGAAGGATTGATCTTCATTTTGAGCACCTCTATTTCGGTATTTGAGGCAGGGGAATAGGGACAAAACGAACTTTAAGACCATGCCGGCCTTCTTGTATTGCAAGGGTATGGAGGAGCCAGCAGAGCATCAGGGGAGGAGAGCGCAGCCTCAGAGATGCATATATGCTGGTTCTTACAGCTCATACCAACAAATAGGCTGGTTGGACACACCAGCTAGACTTGCAGCTCCCTCCTGCCCGATGAGTGGGAATCTCGTGGGTAACAACCACCTTTTGCCTTTATTACATCTGTACTGGGAGAAGAAAACAGGCAACCACGAGCAACTGGGGCTTTGCTGGGAACTCCAGGCTCAGGGCAGCAACGCCCCAGAGCAAACACAGGGGTCACCCGGGGAGTCATGTTCTGCTTCATCCTGCGCCAAGACGCTGGCTGCACACCTGCCCCATTAATGAACCCATTACGTATTTGGGCACTGAGCACTTAACATGACATGCCAGAATCAAACCCTGTATTTCTCAAAAAACTCCCAGAAAACATGAGAAGACCAGACACCCAACTTAAAAGGAGAGACTGCTCAGATCAACTGTTGCCCTCTTCCCTTTTTTCTGAGCAGCCGAAAACATTGGTGGTTCAGAGGAGGGAAGAAAAGCCTTCTTCATACATGTTCAGAATGAAAACAGGCTGATTTGGTGCAAGAGAGCCAGCAGAAATGCCTCTTGGCACCGCGACGAGAACAGCTACCCTAACAGTTTGCCACAGGGCCAGACAAACATTCACTGCTTTAGACCAGCGAGCAATGATGTTTTATTTTTAAGATACTGACTGTAGTTGCACAAGAGACGTCTGAGAAACACGGCCTGATGCAGCAAAGCACTTCAAACTGTGCTGAAGTGTTTTCTTACAGCAAGGACTTCCGTAGCTATTCTGCTTCCACTTCCGTCAAAAAACATTTTGCAATCACGCTCGATGGGGGAAGAACTAAGCTGATCTTGAAGAAAAGACCCGCTCGGCTCCCAGAGCCAGAATAAATCCCTGCGGCACCGCAGCCAGGACACTGCCCGGCAGATGGAAAAATCCAGCAGGCTGGGAATCCCACCACGTGCCAGGCAGGACAGACCCTCGATTTCCTTCTTATCTCTCCCCACGAGCAATTTCCCTGCCCACTGAGGGCTCCCCATCCTGCCAGGTCTGTGTGCTCAGCACATGGCTGAGCTGTTGTTCTCCCTTTCAGAGCTGGGACCCTCAGCTCGTTGGACTCTTTGGCTCCTGTTTTCTGGTCTCCTACAGCAGGTCGATGGTGCTCTCTGATGAGGAGGGACTGGAACGGCCCACGTGCCCGTAGCCACAGAGCAGCTCCTACTGTCTTTATCCCTGGTCTGAAACCACGGATGAAATCAGGGCTGCCCTGAGGTCAGTCTGTGGAAGTTTTGCTACTTGTTCAGCCCAAGGTTTTGTAGTTTTCCGTGATCACAGCAGACACAAGATGAGCTCACTTCATTTAACACATCCACAGTAGTTAAGATCAAGAAAAAAAAAAAAAAGAGTTATCATGCATTACCCCTGCCAAACTTTTAGCATCTGCTTTACTGCATGAGTGAGGTCCTCCATTTCCCTTTCATCAATCCCAGCTAGAGAGGACACGTTATTCCTCCAGCTCATCAAGCCGTTTAGGACTTTGTCAGTGGGAGAGCCCTGGCCCTTATTCACGCTCCCTTCCTTGTAGCCATCATACCACTGAAGACAAGAGTACTTTTATTTGCTGTAACGCCTTTCAACCAGCGCAACTGCAATCCGCAGATGAGACCACAGGCATCCCATCGAGATGGGAAACTGTTAGAGGCAGAAACCGACTTTCCGCAGCACTCAGCCCTTCGTTGAATGACAAAGTACAACATAAAGACAGCTTCTGCTTTTAGGCTTTAATTATTAAAATGAATACAATAATTTTCAGGCATGGGAGGGCTTGGGGTTGTTTTAATCTTAAGCAAGCCCTCACATGAAGCATCAATTGCATGGTTTGTTCTCAACTTCTCTGCTGAGTCCCACCCCTCACATTGCTGTTGAGGAACTAAACTAAATAATTCATCTAGGAACAGGATCAATTTGTGCAGCTTGGCCAAATCAGAGCTAGAAAAACCCAGCTAGGCAATTCGGGACATTTTAAAACAGATGTTCTGAAAGATCTCCTTTCCTTGCATCTATCTCCATCCATGCATGCAGCGAAAAAGAGACAGATGTGCATGAAAAATGCTGGATTTCTGGAAAAAGGCGGCACTGCTGGAAGCCCTCCTGCGTGCAGACCTGTACCTGTGTTTCAGTGGGAGCTCTGGCCAGCACCCGCAGCCCTCCCCAGCACTGCACCCACGACCTGGGGGTCAGCGGGTCCCGCGGGGCCGGAGCTCCAGCTGCGCTTCGCAGAGCCAACAAGAGCCACGGCAAGACCCCGGAGGATGGATGCATAGACTCACACTCAGCTCAGGTCCCAGCCGCCCGTATTGCTCCGACACCCAGAAGCCCCTCCGGTCC